CTCCCCCTCGTTCCAAGCGAGCCCACTTTCTTGTTCAGCTCACAGAAATCGGGTGATTCTTCAAAGTACACTAGGTCCGAAGCGGTAGGGTGCTTGTGCTGCGGGTCGGCACTTTCAAAGTGCTTGATTCGTTTCTTTCGTCGGGTTCCTCTGTTGTGGCCATTGTTCGTCTGGGCAATTTGCGAGGCTCCGTCAAATCGTTCTTTCAGTATATCGCCTACTTCCCTGAAAGTTGGCAGCCTCATCCAACATGTCTTTACCTGACAGCTTCCAGACATACCATGGCACTTGCATTCCCGTCTCATGTTGTCTGTAACAATCTGGTGTCAATGAAAAGAGACAGATAGATAGAAAATATAATCGCACGATAAGATATACAGTCGAGAAAAAGTGTCGTCTACTTTGAACATGTCCTCTACTTTCAGTAAAATTTCACCATTTTTTTTTTTTTTTGCATGATATTTTTGAAAATATAATTGCCTGGGAGTCGTGGTTGCAGAATACTCACAACAGTTATTCTGTGAAAATGTCGTCTGCGTTACGGTACGTTTTCCGGTCGGCAAGTAGATCAGAAGTTCTATGAATATCATTGATTTCATTTTTTTTTAATTTTGGCTAGTTTTTGTCCGTTAAGTTTGTTTTCCTTCCACAAATGCAAAATAAGAAATTATATATCGATAACTGTGTTTTCATGAAACGTCACATAAATAGGCAAACAATTTTCTTACATGGTACCGTATTAGTTCAAAGATTGGATCAAAATATCATTTATAGAATGTGTACGTCTTGTAGAAGCAAAGAACGGTAGCGAAAAGTAGGGCGAAGAAGCTTATGTTAGAAAAGTTAATAGGTTAGAAGCAATGGTTACTAGCGGCTCATTTCGGGACAATGTGTAAAACGCCACCAACGACTATAAATGATAGTCACCGTTGTGAAAACATGTCAGTTGCTGGCGATCCACACATTGACTAGTCAGCAAGCTGGCGGATATGACGTGGGCAGGACGAGGAACAAGTGCCACCGTAGTTCTGATCGCTGTGACGTAAAAACTTGTCACAGATGAGGGTGGCATATGAGCCTCATATAGTAATGAAAGCAAATAAAAAAAAATATGTTATTATTAATCAAAACAAAAGTAACATGAGTATGGTTATGGTTAATACAATTACATTGTTAATATGTCATGCGCGATGCCTTTCGACATACAAATATCACAAATATGCCCGGGCGATACAACTCCAGGATAAATGTTACATTCATATGAATTAGATTGGCGCTTTTCTCATTCTTTTTGAAAATTATGCTGAATGTGTGACTTTAAATGTTTGCAGCTTGCGAACAATAAATCAATTATTATTTCATATATATTCATATATTTTTATATTTTAACATCGACTACACGCCAATGAAATTAGAAATTCATGAACCTCTGAATGATTCACATCCATTGGTAAATCAGCATTGCAATATACAGTAAGTACAAACGCGAATATTGTAAAGTACAGGCAGTCAACTGTATTGTCCCCGACCCCTTAGCTCAACTGAGCCATGACCACTCTATATCCCATCGAAAAAAAAAATATGCATTCTTGGGTAACAGACTATCGCTTGTCAGTCTCAGTGATTGTTAAAACCAGTTTGGGTGGTCTCAAACAGATGACTCGCCAGAATGTGCGCAAATTACACCGTCACCCAAACATATAATTGCCATTTGACTCTCTTCATCTCAACAGATGAACATTCGAATCACATGGGAACGCACATATATTTCGGGGAGTTATAATCATTAAGCATTGTCGTATGTTGAGCGAGAAATTTAACTTTACATAACAACAAAAAAGTAGTAAAATTGTTCATCTATTTGTCTTGAATTAATAGAGCATTTTTTTCTTCCTACATTTAATACGATTTGAAAAGTTAAACAATATAATAATAATATCGTATCATTTTCAGATTCAAATTAAAAAAAGAAACTTGATATGGTGTAAGTTAACGATGCAGATGGTTCTTATCTTGGCACAGTCGCCGGGCTTATCTTGAACTGATAAATATATAAGTTACGTAAATTATAAATGAAGTAAGCACAAATAGGGTGGTGATTTCAAACAAAAAGTGTCAATATCGCTTATCGTCTGCCGATCTGTAATACTATTTCAAGGGTATAAAGCCTTATCGGTTTTTGATGTATGTTATTTCACAGTGTTGCTGTTCGTAGTTGCATTATGAAACGTCCTTCATATTATTGTTTTGTTTTTTTCGCATTTTTTTTTCATTCGAACGTTTTGACATATTAAAACTAGACAGACAAGGATTGGTCAGGAGTGAGCGAAAGAGCGTGTTGTTCTGTTTTTGTCAAGGTTTCGGAGTATTGCGCAATCACGCGTGCATATTTATAAGCTTAGTCATAGCCCTGGACGACGAGGATTTCGACCACCCGCCGGAAAATAAGTTGGCGTAAATGTCTGAAATTTGATCGATTATATGACAGTGATTGAAAGGGAAAAGACGAGAGAGATTCTCGACGTGCCTTTGGTATTAGCAATTTAGCCACCTCTTTCCGTGCCAATATCGTATTGATTCACTTTCTCCAATTGAATTAGGTGCAATCCGCTAGAGAAAGATAGAGGTTTATTAGGATGTTTGCCTATGTCCACTGATGTCCATTCATCTAGGACAGTTTCGCTGAGGACACGGCTTTACAATCGGGCTTGATGTTCCTTAAGTTCGTTAACTACCTCTTTGTTCGACGCAAACGGACGCTATTTAGCAATCTTTAATGCTCCATGATTGTGAAACGCGACTCGAAATTTCTCTTTCACGCTTCTCTGCAAAAGCAATTTTCCAAAAGCGCCTGTTTTCATTACCCCTTTGTTCCACTCTACAAAAGAACAATGACGACAACTTAAAGTTTTTCGTCTTCGTTGCAAAAGTATCGGGTCTGTTCCGTTCCAATGTAAATGTCTCTATGTTGGCCCACAAGATTTCACAATCTTGACAAATCGAGCGATTTGAGTAAGAAAATACCCATTTAAAATACCGCGTATGTGTTGCTTTTGTTCAAAAGTGTTTACACGACATGCAACTATTCCCATTTAGGCATGGACACGTATATAATGGCCGAATAAATAAACTCCCGGTTGTAATTACGTAACCGTCCATTACGAAAAAACTTTTCGAATTTTAACGTCACTTCTCTTTATTATAGCCTCTAATCTAACTTTCCCCAAATTATATAATTCAAACCTTTTTTTCGCATATAGTTTATTCGAATAAAACGTCTAGCACACGTGGCGATTCTCGTTGAATGACACGTTGAACAACATAGTATAGTACTTGTTGTACTGATAGTTTCTGTAACTTAGCACTGTAGATACTGTAATTAAACACGCTAGTTATTGTAACTTACTGCAACTTGGTCATTTGTTGATAGATACGTTTTTCATCATTTGTTAATAAGTACATTGTTTTTGTTATTTGTTGATAGATACATTGTTTTTGTCATTTGTTGATAAGTACATTGTTTTTGTTATTTGTTGATAGGTAAATTGTTGGTCATTTGTTGATAGGTACATTGATTTTGTCATTTATTGATAAGTACATTGATTTTGTCATTTATTGATAGGTACATGGTTTCTGTCGTTTGTTGATAGGTAAATTGTTGGTCATTTGTTGATAGGTACATTGATTTTGTCGTTTGTTGATAAGTACATTGTTTTTGTCATTTGTTGACAGGTACATTTTTTCTGCCATTTGTTGATAGGTAAATTGTTGGTCATTTATTGATATGTACATTGATTTTGTCATTTATTGATAGGTACATTGATTTTGTCATTTATTGATAGGTACATGGTTTCTGTCGTTTGTTGATAGGTAAATTGTTGGTCATTTGTTGATAGGTACATTGATTTTGTCGTTTGTTGATAAGTACATTGTTTTTGTCATTTGTTGATAGGTACATTTTTTCTGTCATTTGTTGATAGGTAAATTGTTGGTCATTTGTTGATATGTACATTGATTTTGTCATTTGTTGATAGGTACATGGTTTCTGTCATTTGTTGATAGGTAAATTGTTGGTCATTTGTTGATAGATACATTGTTTTTGTCATTTGCTGATAAGTACACTGTTTTGTCATTTGTTGATAGGTACATTGATTTTGTCATTTGTTGATAGGTACATGGTTTCTGTCATTTGTTGATAAGTACACTGTTTTGTCAGTTGTTGATAGGTACATTGATTTTGTCATTTGTTGATAGGTACATGGTTTCTGTCATTTGTTGATAAGTACATTGTTTTTGTCATTTGTTGATAGGTACATTTTTGGTCATTTGTTGATAGATACATTGTTTTTGTCATTTGTTTATAGGTACATTGTTGGTCATTTGTTGACAGTGCATTGTTGTTCATTTGTTGATAAGTACATTGTTTTGTCATTTGTTGATAGATACATTGTTTTGTCATTTGTTGATAGGTACATTGTTGGTCATTTGTTGATAGATACATTGTTTTTGTCATTTGTTTATAGGTACATTGTTGGTCATTTGTTGACAGTGCATTGTTGTTCATTTGTTGATAAGTACATTGTTTTGTCATTTGTTGATAGATACATTGTTTTGTCATTTGTTGATAGGTACATTGTTAGTCATTTGTTGATAGGCACATTGTTGGTCATTTGTTGATAGGTACATTTTGGGTCATTTGTTGACAGGTACATTGTTTTGTCATTTATTGACAGGCACATTGTTGTTCATTTGTTGATAGGTACATTTTTGGTCATTTGTTGATAAGTACATTGTTTTGTCATTTGTTGGTAGGTACATTGTTTTGTCATTTGTTGATAGGTACATTGTTGGTCATTTGTTGATAGGCACATTGTTGGTCATTTGTTGATAGGTACATTTTGGGTCATTTGTTGACAGGTACATTGTTTTGTCATTTGTTGATAGGTACATTGTTTTGTCATTTGTTGATAGGTACATGTTGGTCATTTGTTGATAGGCACATTGTTGGTCATTTGTTGATAGGTAAATTTTGGGTCATTTGTTGACAGGTACATTGTTTTGTCATTTATTGACAGGCACATTGTTGTTCATTCGTTGATAGGTACATTTTTGGTCATTTGTTGATAAATACATTGTTTTGTCATTTGTTGATAGGCACATTGTTGGTCATTTGTTGATAACTACATTTTGAGGTCATTTGTTGATAGGTACATTGTTTTTGTCATTTGTTGATAGGTACATTTTTGGTCATTTGTTGATAGACATTGTTTTTGTCATTTGTTGATAGGTACATTTTTGGCATTTGTTGAATAGGTACAATGTTGATCCATTTT